TGTGTAATTATGATATGTCCTGCAAAAATTACTTGCTCATTATATGACTCCTCCTGCTCTAACCCACAAAGGTGCTCATACTTTGAAGACAATTTTTTGTAGAGGTGGTCAGCTGTGTGTAAAGATCAAGGTGGATGTGCTGCCTGAAGTAGGTGCTTGTGGATGGAGGTTTTGAGGTGGCTTTCTGGAGCGCGATCACCAAGCCTCTCTCGCTGCGTCTCCACATTGAACTCTGTGGGAAATTGCTGCCTGTAATAATATTTGGAAAGGGATGGAGTTTCAGCTCAGGCCTTGTACAGCGCACACAAAAGCACTTCTCTCCACTCTCTGTAATGTGGAGGTTGTGCTTGGGCAGAAAACCACGCAATGTCTCACATTCTGTCTTGTGTTTTCTGAGTCGCTCTCTTTCTCACTCTGACTCTCGCACAAGTGGTCGAGTAAAGATGAAAATCTGACTTTCATTTGCTGACCTTCAACAAGACTAGATAAAGCTAATGGAACAAGTGCGCCAAACTGCTTATGTTCATTTCATTTTATAATATTGTGTTTGGCTGGTCATATTTCCTGGGATAAGTTAGATTCAAGTTTTTCTGAATTGGGTTTTTATTTGTCTTTAATTGAGTTCTTATTTGACCAGACCTCTCTTAGTTGGCCCATGTCTTTGCCTGTCTTCGACAGTTTACTAGGAAAAGAGGATTGATAAGTGAGTGTGTCTATTATTGGGCCTGTTTCTCTCTTTCTCTCTGAGAGATGTGATGGCATATTCATCTGTAGCTTGGTCTGTTAAATGATCTTGTCATTTGTTCACAGTTTTTACGTAGATTATTTCAGCCTTAATTGAGCTTTTTTTTGCTTTATTGTAAATTTTATACTTTTGTTGACTGACAGAATGTAAATAACAATGACATCAACAGTAATAATTGGAAACAGTAATATGTGTATATGAATAGGAATATGACAGGTCTTCTTTTTTTGCATATATTTAACCATATTATGTGGTCACATTTACATTGACTGCTGAATAGTTTTGTATAAAAGAGCTTGTTTCCACAACAGGATTAAACAAACAAACAAATAAATGAATAAAGGTAATTGCACATTTTTATCCAACAACTCTGACTTTTTTTCTCACAATTCTCAGATTTACAGTGGGTACGGAAAGTATTCAGACCCCCTTAAATTTTTCACTCTTTGTTATATTCTATTGTAAAAAAAAGTCTGAATTGTGATAAAAAGGTCACAATTACCTTTTTATTTTATTCTGTGGTGGAAATGGGCTTCCATAGTTGTGTGTTGCAAATGCTGATTTTTCCGTAAATGCAAATCTTGTTTATTAATATAATCTGTTAAGCTGTGATTAGTGCAGTACATTCCACACAAGCTTTTGCATGATTTAAATAGTCTCATTTGCATAGATCTATGCTCATGTGAGCCTAATTTATTCTTAATTAAGTCTGTGGGTTTATTAAAGTGTAAATATTGTTGTTCTCTTGAGACATTCATGATTATATTTGAGCAGTAACTACACATAATGGTGAGATGATTTCCTCTTGTATTGTTTTTTTTTGTCCTCAGTGTCCATCGGGAGGCGTGTTCAGGACCCTTTAGCAGAGCTCATTAAGATCGACCCCAAACACATTGGTATCGGCACTTACCAGGTGAGTCACATGACATTCAATCTAATTAAAAATTCGTTTTGTGCATCTCCTCTTCAAAACCATGCTAATAATGGGTTGTGACTTTGTTATACTTGTTTACTTCAGTAATGTTTATGTCTTTATTAAATACTGCCAACAGTTGAGTGTCCTCTCACATAATACTGTACATGATGTTGTGTCTGGCTCTACTCTTGATCCAGCCAAATGCTCAAAGTAATTGTAGGCGCATTCCCAACTTTCTAAGCCAGGCTCTGATTTTTAGTTTTGAGTAATAGCAGTTTCAAACAAAAGTCAGCTGGACTAGAGAGCTAATCCTGTCTCTGACTGTTTGCTTTTGCAGTCTCATATTATGAGTAATCCATTTTTCTCCTGAAATTAATTCTACTATGATTCCCAGTAGCATCATATGTTGACTCAAGGCTGGGCCTGACTTGTATTTTTTCCTTCTCGCTCTGATTTTTCATCTTTCTATTTTTCTCTAGCTGTCTTGCATGCTTGATTTCTCTCTCCTGCCCTCTGCTGCCCTTTTTTTTTAAACATCAAGACTATGCAGAACCTCTTGTTTAAATATATTTTTTTATATACTCTACCAGTTTCCACAAAGACATTAAGCAGCACAACCCTTTTTAGCATTTATGATGATAAGAACCAAATCAGCATATTAGAATGATTTCTGAAGGATCATGTGACACTGGAGTAATGGCTGCTCAAAATTCAACTTTACCATCACAGTAATTAATTACCTTTTATTTTAAATGGAACCAGAAAACAGTTATTTTGGAATAATATTTCACAATATTTGTATTTTTACTGTATTTTTATTAAATAAATGCAGTATTGATGTGCAAAAGAAAACATAAAAAACCTTACTCCTCCCAGAATGGTAGTTAAATAAAGTTTGGTGAATCATAAAACAAAACAAAAGCTCTAAGCTTAAATGTAATTTGTTGTTAAATCTTGAATTGGGCAATTTTCCACTGCAACCTTGGAGCCATTTTCCAAATAAGGAGAGGAAAGCACATCTTTCGTCTTTGTAAAAGGATCAATATCACATGCTTCTCACTGCCAACTTTTTGACCCAAAAACCATATGCACATGTGCTGATGCACACAGGTTTAGGTTAGCAGAGTATCAGGGTCACCTCGCCTTGCCCCTGCACAGTGTGAGTGTTGTCTAGTGTGCATCACAGCGACCCCCTGCACGTCTGTCAGCACTTAGCGTTTATTTACCCTGCCACATAATCTGAGCAACACATGATGCCTCTCCACCGCATTGACATGCTGAGTGATAAGTGTGTTTGTGTGTGTGCATGGGAGAGGGGTTTACAGTATGCATATATATGTGTGTGTGTGTGTGTGTGTGTGTTTAATAGACAAAAAGACTGGATGATGTATCTTATTTCTTAACTTGAGTATCTGAAGTAGGGCTGGGCTATAAGCACTATAAGGGGGTGCTATTTTATACCCACTTTCCTTAACCTTGAAAATGAGGTTACAGAATATATAATTACATGTTTTGAGTGATGGGAAAAAGGTGTTTTACCTGTAAATTGTGGTGTAAAGTTTGCCTTTAGTGGTTGTCTCAGTTTAGAACTCACTGTGTGTGTGTGTATAAGATGTTGTATAAATTACTTAATTATGTGAATGTATAAATTCATAAATTACTACAAATAATTAGGGACAATAAGATTACAAAGATTACATTAGATTAGGGTTGCACCAATATTGAATTTCTGGCTGGTACCAATAAGCTAAAATTATATTGATGTTATTGCTGTTATTAATTTTTTATACTTTGTCTCTCTCTCTCTCTTTCTCTCTCTCTCTCTCTCTCTCTATATATATATATATATATATACAGTATGTATAAAACACTAAAAACTAAAATCAATTGTTTTAAATGCTACACGTAGTAGTAATACAGTATGAAAACAGATATTTATTTTGAGATTTACTAATTATTAGTACTAATTATTGGTGTTTTTAAATATTAACTTAAGTGAAATGCAGTTGACGGAAGCAATATACATGTAAATAAATGTGAATGAGCATGTACAATTAAATAACATAATATTATTTCACAACATATAAATCCAACAGAGACAATACAGATAGATAAAATATGATAAATATGGTACAGATATAGTGTATATCTCCAAATAAAATATAAAATGTTATATAAATAAAAAAATATTTGGTAACACTTTAGTATAGGGACCAATTCTCACTATTAACTAGTTGCTTATTAGCATGACTATTAATGACATATTAGCTTTTTATTAGTACTTATAAATATTCTGCATGACCATATTCTACATCCCTAATCCTACCCAATGCCTAAACTTAGCAACTACCTTACTAACTATTAATAAGCAACAAATTAGGAGTTGAGGCAAAAGTCATAATTAATGGTTTGTTAATAGCGAGAATTGGACTTTAAAATAAAGTGTAACCAGTAATTCCTTGAATAATTTATTGTATGAAATACAGTAACTTTATGAAGTGGGTGGAAGCTTTTGCTGCTGAGCTAAATTTGAATCGCTCTCTATCACCTTCATAACACTTTTGATTGCACATCACCCTCTATTGTTGCTTGTTTTGTCCTGACATTCCATTTAGTCGAAGTGGGTGGGACCTCTAAAGTTTAGGTTTATATAGTTAACTGTCAATCACTGAGACATAGGTGGAGAGTGTTCAGGTTTCCCAACTGCTTAAAGGTCCCAGAGGGCACATTTTACCATTTTACCCAGCTGTGAGAGAAAACACCATACACACCCCCGGATATTAAGGAAACTGTCACTCCCCTTGATGCACTTTCCCGTGTGTTTTTCAAGTCCAAACATTTAAACCAACAATAAACCCTTTATTTATTTAACCATTCTTTATTATTACATTGTTAATAATGAACACTTGCAGAAATATGCATATGTTAGGTTGTACTTTAATTTTGAATTACAAAATAGGTTACATTTAAATGTTTGTTCACACAAGGACCACTATTGATCACACAGATAAAGCTTTAGTATATAGTATTGTTTTCACACTATTTATTGCATGTTCAGAACACCAATAAACAATCTCTTTGTAAAAAAAAAAAAAAAAAAAAAAAGTTTTCGATGAAGGTTGTGTAGTGAAAAAGCACCAGTGATGTCACTCCTGAAGGCTTTCTCTATTTAATGGGCCTGCCGAGACTGCTCCCTCAGGGTCAAAAGGAAGAGAGCGAATGGTATTGACTGACAGGTGGCTGATTGACAATGATTGATAGCTGAGTCCTTTTTTGCGTGGGAAAAAGGAAAAGTTATGCGCTCTGCTGAACACCTTTCATTTTGATCATGTCTGATCTAGCTGTGTTTGTGCATGATAAATCTTTTATTATATGACTTTTAATTCATTTTCTCTCCTGGGTCAAGTCTACAAGAATTATTCTTTATCTTTGTTGTCTTATGGCTGTTCACATTTGTAGCAAACCTTTGAAAGAAGACTAGCGTACGTGTTGTTTCTCATGACTTTAGTGGGTGTGTCCAGTAGTGCAGTGTGCGTGGGTGCAGCTCTCATGTTCTGTTTGACAGGTGTTTACTGACTCCAGACCTGGTCTCCAGGCTTCACCTGAGGTAAAGGAAAGATGGAGCAGAGTGTAGGTGAGAAAAGTGTCAGAATTAGTCGTTAAAATGTCAGCCCACTGCCAGGAAACTGCATCATCTGATTTGCTGCCAGAATGCTTTTTAGAATTCATGCATAATGTTTTTAGTGGAGCAAAGCAAGCTTTGAATAATTATTATATAAAAAGTGTTTTTAATGCCTCGAAAAATCATGGAAATTTCTGTCGTGAATATGTATTTATTTTTTCTATTAATGCTTTATGCTAAAATATTTAATTGACTAAATTTTGAGCTTATATAGAGATTTGTTATTTACTTTTATGTAATCAATGCTTTAATCTGTCAGATTGGTTCACACACTTATCTGATTGATTCATTAGCAAACCAGAATCATAATGTAAAAATGCTTACGCTATAATCACAAATGACTGAAAAGATCCTGGAAAATTCGTTTATGGATTCAATGATGAATATACACTACTGTTCAAAAGTTTTTATTTTTTTAATTTTTTATTAAAATGTACTTATTTATTTTTAATGAAGTTTGCATTAAGTTTATCAAAAGTGACAGTAAATATATTTAGAATGTTACAAAAGTTTATATTTCAAATAAGTGTTTTTTTTTTTTTTACTTTCTATTTAACCATTTCTGACAGATATAAAAAAAAATAAAACATTAAAAGAGAAAACAGTTATCTTTCCTATATTTTTGTTCAAATGAAGACAGGTATTGATAGCATAAGAGATTTAAAAATCTCAAAATTTTGAACGTTAATATACGTTCAAAACAACTGCTCTAATCTGTCAAATGTGCTAACAGATTGATCTGAATTACTTGCTGGTGAATTGGATTGAATCACAATGTTTGAAAAATTCTTATTCCATAGTCACAAATGACTAAAGATCATGGAAAAGTCCTGGAAAATTCTATGGTGAATATACCGTTTTCTTTTAGCACCTATAACGAATCTGTCAAATGGGCTCAAACTGAATCAGAAAAATAAAGTTATCTGAAATGTCTGGAAAGATTGCAAGTCATTGGTCAAAAAGTGTAGGAACCTTGCAGATAAGTCTTTAATACTTATTGCAAGATTTTAGGATGTCTGAGATTAGTAACTTGCATCTAAATGACCTTGCAGGTAAGACAAGACTGCACATTTAAAAATCTTATGTCATAGGTAGAAATTGTAGCCTGTTTTAAGGATGATTTAACATAACTTCTGCTCTGTCAGGACTCATCATTTCTACGCTACTGCCAAGACGTCTTTAGCCATTTTCAGATGCCTTGTTTGGAGCTTTTGTGTTTTGCTGAAAACGTAGGTCTCTGGTTACACAAGAGGCAGAGGTTTGGGAGGTATGTAAAGGGATCTCCCCAGTCAAACATCTTTGTGTGTTCAGCGCT